AGAGAGAGAGAGAGAGAGAGAGAGATGGATAATAGACAGAACAGTGTTCTCCAAGGTTTTTAACGGTTCATTTTTTATTTTTATTTTTTTTAAAAGAACACATTTTATTTTTATTTATTTCTTTTATGTGTGTACCGTCAAATTGGATCTGACTGTAACAGGAGGTGATTGTTCCTCCTTCTTCAGCAGAGCATCTGGTGGATTTGAACTCACACCTCTGGGATTGCAGTGCAGTTTCCTGCCACTAGGCCACCAGAGCTCACCAACGGTTCATTTTTTTAGAGATAGATCATCAGACCTTCCAAGGTACTTCTGGGTAGGCTTGAACCTTCAACTTTTCAGTTAGCAGTCAAGTGAGCTAACCATTTGTACCACTCAGAGACTCTTGAGTTTCTATTTGTTGTGTTGTTAGGTGCCATCTCATAGCAATCCCATGGACACAGAAACACTGTTCAGTCTTGCACTATCCTTGTCATCACTGGCATGTTTGAACCTACCGTTGCTGCCACTGTGCCGGTCAAGCTTGTTGAGTTTCCCACTACTTTGCTGACTCTCGACTTTACCAAGCGTGATATTCAGGGACTGTCCCTCCTGATAACATACCCTCAATAGATGGGACAAAGTCTTGCCTGCATGTCCATGCGAGGCGACCGACAATATCATGACAAGATCAAGTGCCTCTGCATTCTCATAGTGACGTCTTTGCTTGCTAACACTTTAGAAAAGTCTTTGACCCCAAATTTTCTCAGTGCAATGTGTTACTCTATTTCCTGTTATTTCCAAGGACATGAGGCTGTGGATTCAGATAACATGAAACTCCTGACATTTTCAATATCTTCTTTTTTTAACTGTGATTTTAACAAAAGTTGACAGAGACATTGGCTTTTCATTCATTCAGTCTTGCACATTCCCCCCGCCCCCGTTCACTTTCTGTTTTTAAATATTCATTCATTGGAGAATGAAAATATTTCCTCTAAGCAAAATGCCTGAATTCCAAGTAGGACTCTCCCTTTCCTTTGCTGCTTTAGGCAAGTTTCCCTCATCTTTTTGTGCCTTAGATGTTCAATCTGTGAAATGGGAGCAGGAACAACAACACCTGACTCACAGGGTTGTTGTGAGAATTAAATTAGCTCTCACCTTCCTGTGAGTGTTAGACTAAAGCTTGACACACAGAAATGCTCAGCGAACCTTAGCAATTATAATCATGGGAAAATCATCACAGGAGAGTCACAGAAGAAATAGGATTGACCTACAAATTCCTAAGATAATCTTTTACAAGGTCTTTTTCCATGGTGGTCTGCTGTAAAGTACGTATTAGTGAGTGTGTTAGTGAGTGCAGAGGGCAGAGCTTCCCCAGTGCCCTTCCTGCCTCCTTGGCCCCTCTGGAACCAACTCTGAGGGCAAGGTCCCCAGGTTACTGTCTGAAAACACCTTCCCCCATTTCCATCCATTACCTGCTTGCAGCTCTTGATTGCTCCCCTGCCCCCCAACACCCGGTTGGTTCCAACCCAGCCCTCCTCCCTAGATCCCTACTGCCCTTACCATCTCAGCCAGCTTGTGGATGGCCGGACACAGGGTGTTGACAGTGCTCTGGTACCACCGGTCCACACGGCCCAGGAACGCAGCCAGCTCTCCCCGCTCTGCCTGCCTGTATGCTGTGGCCTCCTGGGGGCAGGGGAGTGGACAACCAGGTTAGACACCCTCCTCCTACCCGTGGACCCTAGATACCATCAACCTTATTTCTAGTTCCAAACAAAGTAGCTTCTCGAGCGTGGGCACATCACTTAGTCTGCCAGGGTCTTAATTTCTGCACCATGTGAAGATGGGCTTTTGTTTTGCCTTATATCCTGAGGAAGCTGGAGTGCCCTTTACTAAGGGTCATTGCCAAAGACACTGAGGAATCATCATCGATCTTAAAAAGGGAACAATGATTGCTGTGACATTAATGTAGGTAATTCAGATAGATTAAAAAAGTGTAAAGAAAGTAAAGACGGCAAGTGTGTCTGCATTTCCTCCATGAGAATAAATGGCTTCCATTGCCTGGAACTTCCAACAGTGTGACCCTAGGACGTGTGAGTGTGTGATTGTGTGTGTGTGTGTGTGTGTGTGTGTGAGAGAGAGAGAGAGAGAGAGAGAGAGAATGCTTATGAGGAGGTGGTGGAAGTATTTAGTAGGATTGTTGTTGTTGTTGTTGTTATGTGCCGTCGAGTTGCTTGCGACTCATAGCGACCCTATGTACAACAGCCCTAAACTGCTCTGTCCTGTGCCAATCGCATTGCCTCTGACACACCCATCCCGATTACCCCAGCCACTGAATCAATCCACCTCATAGAGGGCCTTCCCTTCCTGCGCCGTCCCTCCACCCTCCCAAGCATGGTGTCCCTCTCCAAGGACTGGTCCCTCCTCACAACATGTCCAAAGTATGTCAGATGAAGCCTCAGAAGCCTTGCCTCCAAGGAGCAGCCTGATTTAACCCTTTCCTGGATGAATCTGTTTGTTTTCCATGTCCCTCAGATAGAGTGTAAAGAGGGCCAGTTGGCAGGCACTCTGGTGTTCCACCAACTCTTTTGTCCCTTCCGCTCCCTGGGGCTCATGCTCTTCTTCCCCATTTTAAGGAATGACCACTGCACTGATACCTGCTGACATGTGGAAGGAACACTGGGGACTGAGAGCCTATGCTTAAGGATGGCAAATGTCATCAAAACAAACCAAGGGAACACTGGAGGCCACATTCAGTCTCATTCATTTTGGTTTCTAGGAAAGAGGTCCTCACACCACATTCTAATGATGACGCAGGTATTTCCACAGAAAACCACAGGAAGTGAGCCACTGCCTAGTCCTGCCCTTGTCTGCCTGGTCCATAACCATGGCCTTGCTCCCCACATCTCCCTGCCCACTCACTTGCTCACCTCAGGGGCCAGCATGGGGATGTAGTAGAGCTGCAGGCTGAGTCTGGGCGTGAGGCAGAACTTCTGGGTCTCTCGTTTCCTGGAGGGGGCAGCAAAACCAAGGGGGTCAGAGGAGGCCTATGAACAGACTCTGCTCCTCATCCTAGCCCTGTCACTTCTTATCTCTTGACTTGCTGCAGTTTACCCCACCTCTGTATTCTCATCTGTAATATGAGTGCAGTGACCCTGGCAGGGTGGTGACAAGATGAAGAATGCTGGCAGCACACAGTAGGTGTATGTGAGCACATTGTAGGTGTATAGTGAACACACAGTAGATATGTGGTGAGAAAACAGTGGGTATATGTTGATCACACTGTAGGTGCGTAGTGACAACAGTGGGTGTATGGTGAACACATTGTGGGTATATGGTGAGCATTCAGTAGATGTATAGTGAACATACAGTGAGTGTGGGACGAGCACACAGTGGGGGGGGGCAAGCACACAGTGGGTGTGGGATGAGCACACAGTGAGTGGGGGGGCAAGCACACAGTGGGTGTGTGGTGAGCACACAGTGGGTGTATGCAGAGTGATGGTGCCTAGCAACCACCCTCACAATTTGGTCTCTGCCTCTCCCCACTCCCTCTCTTTCCTGATCTTTCCCCAGCCTGTGGTGGCTTCTGTCCCACTCAATCCTCTCTGCAATCCCCTGGAGCTATACCTGAGGGTATGGTAGGCCTGGGCCAGGCGTCCCAGCATCCTGTCATCCCCTAGCACCAGCACCCGCGCTGTGTGCACCCGGGAGACCCCGGGCAGCAGCTCTCCGTCTCCACCAGGCCCGCCCGTCTTCCTGTGCAGTCCTGGGGGTGCGTGCCAACTGCCAGGCAGCCAAAGATCCACCGGCCACGTCCGCTTCTTGATGCCCCCTTTACGCTGCAGGCTGGCCCGCTCCAGCTCAGGGCTGCTGGACGCTGGAGGCTCATCGGCGCCTGAGGGAAGGTCCCGCTCGATGCCGCTGTCCGTGGACAGCACGGACACCCGGGCCAACTCCCGGTCAGGCGGGAGGCCATGCAGATCCAAGGCCTCTAGGTCAGCGCTGAGGCGGAGCTGGAATCGAGGGCGAAGGAAGAGCACCAGTTCCTTCCCTGGGGGGCAGAGAACAAGGGGACATCAGGGGGTGAGGGGCGAGGCCCCTGCGCCTCTCCCCAGGAAACCCTCAGCTCTGCTCAACAGTGGGCCCAGAGGCGCTAAACTGATTAACACAAGAACCCTGCGCAGCTTCTGGCTTCTGCTGTGAGCTCTGTTAATAAACACATTAAGGTTTCTGAGAAGTCTTGCAGCAGATCTACTTAGCCCAGCCTTTCCCGCATTTAGCTGATCCTGGAGCCCTCCCTCCTTTTAAATATATGTTCATATTACGGATTGCATTGCTCACCCCTTCCCTACAATCTACCATGAAATCCTAACCCCCATACCTGTAACTATGACTGTTTGGATACAGTAGTTGTCATTTGTTATATTAAAGTAAGGAGCCCTGATGGCACAGTGAGGTACATGCTGAGCTTGGATCAAAAGGTTGGCAGTTCAAATCTACCAGCTGCTCCACAGGAGAAAGATAAGGCTCTCTGTGCCTGTGAAGAGTTACAGCCTCAGGAATTCAGTGAGAGGGTTGATTTATCAAAGTTGAGTGGATCCTAAACCTAGAAACAGATCAAAGGCACACAGGGGAAGCCTATTGCTGGCTATTGGAAGTGGACATAGACAAATACCTCCCCTAGCCTTGTGCCCTGAATTGGGGTTTCTAATCCCCTGAACTGTGAGAAAACAAACTGATGTTCCTGAAAAGGCAACTACTTATAGTATTTAAATTACACCAGCAGCAGGAAAGGAAGTACTTGACAAAAATCTCTTCCCTCTCACTTACTCCCCCCTGCCTCCCCCCACCCCTCGCTGGCCCTCCTGCCACCACCGCCCCTGCCATTTTCTAGGACACAGACTCCAGACATGGGCTCTGGAAAGAACGCCAGGCTTTCTAACCAACCTTCATTTCCTGGCACATCAGTAAACGGAACACCGAAAGAACTATTGTTTCGTTTCCAGAGCTGCTGTAACACAAATGCCACCAGTGAATGATGGTTTTGGAGTCTAGAAGTCAGAATTCAAGAGCTGGCTCGAACGCTTTCTCCCCGTCAGCTCTGGGACCTCCTTGTCTCTCCAGTTTGCTGCTTCCCTGGAAGTCTCTGTATAATTTGTCATTCCTCTTCCCCATCTCTGCTTGCTTAATTGGCTCCTTCTATATCTTGTAAAAGACTGACTCTTATCACACTCTACCCCTGCCTCATTAGCATGAAAATGACAACCTATTCCCATATGGGATTATGACCTTTGGCATAGGGGTTAGAATTTACAATACATATTTTTTTGCAGAGGCACAATTCCATTTATCGCACCTGCCCAGCACTTGCCACTCCAGCATCCTGCGTACCTGCCTGTAGAACAGGGGACACCTGCAGGAGGCAGTCTTGGGATGAGGGGAGCTCCCTGGTCACTTCTTCCGGCTCTGGGGAACTACAGCTTTTTCACAAGAACCCAATTGCTAATAAACTGAGAAACCTCCTCATTGCTGGTGAGTTGGAGCTGAGCCTGTGCGTTAGAACTGCAACACCCTACAGTGAGACCAGAGCTCCGAGTGACTAAGACACTGTGCTATTCTGACGGTGAGAACATGTCCCTTCTTCCAGACAAGTGTGACATTTCAGGGAAGGAGATAAGGAGCATACACACACGTTCACACACGTTTGCACACTACCACATGCATGTATGTACATACACGGCCGCAGGCACTTACAAAGCTGCTCCTCGTCCGTCCACAGGTGGAAGGAGATGTGGGGGCTGGGCAGAGGGATGCTTGGTGGCTGGTCCTGGAGAGGGTCACCTGAGGGGAGGAGTAGGCTGTGGAGACCACAGAGGGGAGGATGGTGGATTCTGCTGTGCCCTCCCCACCCCCAGCTCCTGTACAGGGGGCCTAGAGAGGGTGGCAGAGACCCTCTCCCTCCCCTGCTGGTGTTGTTGAGCCTTCCTATCCACAATGTGGCTTCCTTTCCTTCCCATCTCTGTCACCATCAGCTCATCCAGGGCCTACACACACACACACACACACACACACACCACACACACACACACACACACACACCCCCCAGCTTCTTACGGCACTTAGAGCCTGTCACCAACCAGCAGTATGTGTTATCTTTTATACCCTCAGACTGTCCCCTGTCCCTTGTACTGCAGTTGAGCTGGTTTCCCCAATACTCCTTAAAGCCCTGTCAGTATCCAGACCAGGAGGACAGCAGCCTCTGTTTCCATCAGTGTTACTGAAGTCCGAGGCAGCAGAAGTCCAAGGTGAGAGAAACCAGGTCATTCCTCCTTCCAGAAGCTTCCTGACTAGCTCGGTCACATGGACATCACTCCCAAATCTACTTCATTTGCATACCATGTGGCTGTAGGGTTTGACTCTCTAGTCCTGTTTACCTTTGGCGTGACCATGGCTCCCTCCCTAAAGAGGCTGCGGACCTTCTTGTATGACAGTCCCCAGTGCTTACTGAACACCTCCGGTCAGGCTCTGCTCTGCCTACGTCAGACACATTCAATCACCTTACTGCACGCAGCCAGCACCCTGGGTGGCAGGTCCCATTATTGTCCTCAGTTGACAGAGGAGGACTGGAGGCACAGGGGTTAAGTAACCAGGTTACTAATTAAGCAGAGCCGCAATGTAAGCCCAGGTAGCCCAGATCCAGACCATGCTTTTAGCCACTGCTATTATTAATTGCAGTCTCATTTGGTCCCTGACTTATGGCGGACCCTATGTACCTGGTCCCATGCCATCCCCATGGTTGCACTGCAGATCAGATTGTTGGGACCCGTTGGGTATTCTGGGACTGATTTTCACTGATTTTCTGCCTAGCTCATTTCATACTGGAATCTCTGCTGAAACCCACTCAGCATCAGAACAACATGCAAGTTTTCACTGACAGGCAGATGGTGACTGACTGCGCATGAGGAGCACTGACCAGGACTTGAACCTGGGGCTCTTGAGTGTTGTGTGCTGTTGAGTTGGAACCAACCCATAGTTGACCCTCTAGCTGGTTTTCCGAGGCTGTACATCTCATGAGAGTCATGAGAGGAGACACTTTTGTGTTGACAGTGAATTTTTTTACCACTAACCCACCAGAAGTCCATGGGCTCCTGAATGGAGGCTGAGAATTGCACCACTGAACCTCCACTTCCCTCATCTTCACCGCTGTCCCACACTGCCCCCTGCAGGAGCAAACACTCAAGAGGTGGGCCGGTTAACCATGAAGACATTCAGGTGGGAGACAGGGGTCAGGGGATGTGACTTGGATGGTGGTGGTTGGAGTGGTCCATGCTGAGTTACTGCTGAATAGTTACACATGGTGCCCATGGGGAGCACGGTTCAGGGTTTGTCTTTGCTTCTGGCAACCCTTTCCAGGGGTTGACCAGGACCAGTGAAGAAGAGGAAGGGGTCCTGCAGCCTCCATCCTCACCTGGGAGAGGGGCTCAATTGTCAGACTGAAACCTGGGACTTCTGCTGGTGGTTCACAATCTTCACCCTATGCCCCGTAAGTGGTGCAAAGCTGGTAGATGTATTCTGAGGCACGCTGTCTGACAAACTCCAGGGATGCTTCAAGTGACCCTGAACTTGTGCACAAATCATAATTGTCCAATAACATGTGGAGGAGGACCCTCTGAGACCCTTCTCTAGGCTGGTAAAGACTTCCCAGTCCAGATGTGCTTGCTTCCCATTGTCACCATGTACAGCATTGTCTTACAAAAATGCAAGTAGGGAGCGACGCAGCGCCAGCGAGAGCGATGCAGCGCGAGAACGCTGCTGCCAGATGGGAGAACGCTGCCGCCAGATGGGGTTCCACCACGAGAGGGGCCTGGAAGAGACCCAGGAAGAACAACAGCCAGCCACCTACCGCGGAACTCCACAGGAGCGAAGACTGTGAGACCCCAGAGGAACAAAGACTACCCGACACTGTGTGACCCCCTTGCAACCCACACCTGTGTGACCCTTAACACACAGGGTACTGCTGCATAAACCCCCAGCAGCGCCCAAGCCCCGTCCCCACCTCTTGGTGATAGTATCCAAGCCCTGCGCTCCTTACCCCCTAGTCCCTTGCTTTCCTCCCCTTCCCGCACCCCCCTTGCAGCTCCACAACCACACATCTCAACCCCCACCAAAGCCCTGTGACCTCAGGGCACCACCTTGGATCCAGCCATCACCCGGAGCTATCAGGCGAGCTGTTGAGGAACTAACCTGGCAGGAGAAAGGCCCGTAGGATCTTATCTGTGTTTACTGGGGCATTGCTGAT